TTATACGACCTCATATTTTTTGAAATATTCACCAACTGTATATTCATGAAATATTCATAAAATTATATTCTCCAACATTCTTGAATAATTCATGAATTAACTCACATGTTTGTTCATGAACTATTACTTAAATGAAGAATAAATATTCATCACCTGTATATATTCTGTTCCTCAATGTTCTTGAAATCTTCTCCAAGTTTAGCTTCATTTTTCTTGAAATATTCCTCATCTTAAAGTATTAGCATATAAAATTTGAACCAAATCCATCTATTGATAGTTGATTTATCAACAAGCAAAGCTCCTTTGTCCCTACCCCAGCGAAATGACATTGAATAATTCCTGAATATTCATGAATTATTCATCAATATTAATGTAAAATATTCATGAATAATCCACCAATGAAGAATATATATCATGAAGATTTCATGAATATGCGTGAACATCAATTGAACATCAATTTGGACACTTCCCGAAAATTCTTCAAATCGAATTACTTGAATATTCATGAATAAACTTTCATGGACTTTTGTGTTTTCTCACCTAAAGCAATAATTTCCTTTCTGAGGAATTCTGGGATAGGTTATGATTCATAATTCTTCAAATATTCTTCAAATGAGGTGGTGAAAAAATGAAGAATATCTAAGAACATATTAATTCTTCATTATTGTTCAAATATCCTTTAAACAAAGTGGTGAAAATATGAAGCATTTCCAAGATTTTCATAAATGCAAAATGTTATTTTTTATTCTTCAAGTACCCTTCAAATGAGGTCATGAAAAATTGAAGAATATCTTAGAACATATAAGTTCTTCATTATTATTCAAATGTCCCTTTAACAAATTGTTCCCATGTTACAAAAGAGCTTCAATTTCATGTTTTTCTTAAAGTTATTAAACATTTTCCCCAATATTCCTCAAATATTCTTCAAACAGAATGGAAAAAAGAAGAATTTCTAAGAATAAATCTTTAGATACCAGGTCGTTCAATAAGTTCACGGAAAAATGCTCTCATTTCAAAGATTCTTGATATTTTCCCATAAAATTTTCACACAATGTTTAAAAAATACTTTCTGATTGATTCTTAAACTCTCAGCATCTCTAATTAGATTGGTCAAAAATAAGAGTTTCTATGGTAACTTGACTTTTGGGTAGGCGGGGCACTTTTTACGTCACACAATTTACCATTACAGAAATCTATCAATATATGCAAGGGAAGGATCTCTATTTTTTATTTGTTCTTATTCAAATTACAATTTTTTGAGGGAAAATTGATGTTCATTGTTTTCAAGAACATTTCTGAAATCGTGCTAGTCAATGCTGTACCAGTGGACCAGAAAATCAACAAAGTAATGCTATGGTAAGTTGATTAAAACTTCCATTCTGCCGAACTCTGAATTTTTCCATCAGAATAATGCAGCCGATCACACTGCTAATATTGTGCAGGAAACCATCGCAAATAACTGGCAAAATAGATGGCAAAGCTGCCCCAAGTTACATACTCTAGATGAAACAACAATGTTTTCACTAGGATGAAGGATCAGCTAAGAGGTGCACTTTATGAAACAATGAAATTACTTTCGACTGCAGTCCAGATTGCCCTTCAAACAGGTTTTCCAGATGGCTTCAGAGCATTGTCTTGTCAATGGCTTGAATGCAATCTACTGTGCATTAAACATGAGGGAGAATATTTCTAAAACCTTATGGGACAATAGTTGTTACTATTATTACATTAAGTAATATGTACAAGTAGCGGAGAAGAAATTCATGTGATATACTCATAAATTGCCTCCTATTCTGTTGTTTTTCTAATGAACAATGAGACGTAAAAAGTGCCCCGCCTACCCAAAAGTCAAGTTACCACAGTAACCCTCATTTTTTACCAATCAAGTAAGAGATGCTGATATTTTAAGAATCAATCAGAAAGTATTTTTTATACATTGTGTGAAAATTTCATGAGAAAATATCAAAAATCCTTGAAATGAGAGCGTTTTTCCGTGAACTTATTGAACGACCTGGTAAAAATAAAATGGCTGATTTCTATATGAAAACTCCAGATCTTGAGATATCTCCTCACTAGGTGGAAATAGCTATCTAATTATTGATCTAAACAAGAAGATATGTGTCACCTACCTTTTGGCATATGTTCCTGTTTCTCTGTCCACATATTTTAAGGACATGTTCCTTTTTAACAAGAGCTTCAATTTCATGTTTAACTAATGTGTTTTTTCCCGCCTAAAACAATCATTTCCTTTTTGAGGAATTCTGGGATAGGTTATGATTCATTATTCTTCAAATATTCTTCAAATGAGGTGGTGAAAAAATGAAGAATATCTAAGAACATATTAATTCTTCATTATTATTCAAATATCCTTTAAACAAAGTGGTGAAAATATGAAGCATTTCCAAGATTTTCATAAATACAAAATGTTCTTTATTATTCTTCAAATACCCTTTAAATGAGGTGGTGAAAAATTGAAGAATATCTAAGAACATATTAGTTCTTCATTATTATTCAAATATCCTTTTAACAAATTGGTGAAAATATGAAGAATTTTCAGGGTATCAAAGGATACAAAATCTTCTTTCGTATTCTTCAAATATCCTTCAAATTAGGTGGTGCAAAGGTGAAGAATATCTGAGAACATATTAGTTCTTCATTATTATTTGAGTATTCTTCAACAACATGGTGAAAATATCAAGGATTTCCAAGATTTCAAAAAATACAAAAGGTTCTTCATTATTCTTCAAATATTCTTCAAACATTTTGGTGAGAATATGAAGAATATTTAAGAACATAAATATTCTTCAGTATTATTCAAATATCTTTCACACAAGGTAGTGAAAAAAAGAAGAATATCTAAGAACAGAGATGTTCTTTATTATTCTTCAAATATCCTTCAAACAAGGTGGTGAAAAAATGAAGAATATCTAAGAACAGATGTGTTCTTCATAATTATCCAAATTTTCTTCATTCAGCGTGGTGAAATTATAAAGAATTTTCAAGAACATGAACTTTTCTTTATTCTTCTTCAATCATTCACCATAGAAATTGAAGAATATTCAGGAACATAAATTATTCTTTATTCTTCTTCAAAAATACAAGAATATGGTTAAATCTTTATTCTTCACAATTTATATCGATATTACAATATTCATCACACCTGAATATTCATGAATAATTCATGAATATTCATATCACAAGAATATCATTTCGCCGGGGCATTAATTAACTATAAAATTTTAATGTGTGTCAATGTTTTATTGATAAACTCTAAGTATCCGTCCCATTTCTTGTTAGATATTTCTCCAATCCTTTAGCAGTGTTGGGATAGGTAAGGGTGCGGGGATGGATGGGGGGGGGGGGAGGGGTAGTAATTTGACATTGAACTTAAGCTCTTGATAATTCTGCCATTCATCATCAAAAAATTCTGTTTTTCAACTACAGCATTATTTCTCAAAAGGAACTTATAAAGACCAAGATTTTTCATAATGGTTTTAGATAGCATCTTGATCTGTTTTATCCCCTCACTGAAATCAACCTTGAATTACAAAGGGGAACCCCCAAACATTAGTTGACAACTATGCTTGAAAATAAATCATCCCAACTCTCACTATTCACACTTGTTAAAAGAATCTGGCTCCACAATGTTAAAATTTAACTTTCCCAAGTTTTAAGATTCAGATGGAAACGCAATCACAGACTAAAATTAATCTCATTTCCATAAGCCACTGTTAATTTTATTTACCCTACAATTACTTATCTTAAATTCCATTCAATACCTTGTTTAGAAACACTGATTTAACCCAAATATAAATATTTAGAAGTTAAACACTCGGGTCTAAATCTATCCCAACACCACACGATTACTGTGGCGAGAAATAATCAAAATTCATTTACAACAACCAAATTGTTTATAACAATGACCATGTAATTTTACCCTGCGTGCAGAGTCTAGTTAAACTACACTCTGCCTAGTAGAGACCATAATACAGTTTAGTAGCCCCGCCCCCACGATGGGTACCGATGACAGTTTGGGTAATAAATGATTTTTGATCTACGCGCTGAGCTTTCTTCCACCAATCAGCGAGCTTGAAGAAACATACGCCAAATGCGTTCTAATTAAATATGCGCATGTAATTGGTCAATTCCGGGCTCAACGATGACGTCAGAAGTAATGACCATATATAGAACGTCAGTCGAATTTGGCCGACGAACACTGATTGGCGCGGTGAGTTCACAGGTTTATTTTAGTTTGAAAGAGTGAAGACGAAGCTCTCTTTTAAGAAGTGAAGTCAAATGAATGCAAAGGGTATGTAATTTTAGGAAGGTACACATTTTTGGGATGATGAATGATTTCTAAAACATGAACTTCCAAAATACAATTATAGGTTTGGCATACATAAGACAGGAAATGTTTCCTATAATAAACATGTCAAATTGAGTTATATTTTAAAACATTTTGTAATCATTTCAAAATGTATTTTTCAATTATATTTATTTGATGAATCAATATCTCCTAGCCAGGAACTTTACTCATAGTAGATTTCATGACCAAACTTTGGCCAAAAAATTATGTAGACTTTAGTTAAAATGTATTAAATTGATAAATGAGGGGGGGGCTTTATCTAGGTGGGTGCCTTCTCCTTCGAAAGACAATGGGATATTATTGATGTGGCTACTTGATTGTGACATCACATGGCCACATGTAAACCAACAAACTGACTAACAGACTAACCAACTCAGGCCCGTAGCTAGGATTTGCCAAGGGGGGGGGGGGGGTTCAGTTTTCAAAAATTTCCAGGGGGCTCACATTTGACAATTTTGGCCCAAATATGGCTAAAATTACTTAAGAAGTGCTCAAAATGGTGAAAATCTGCATCATTTTGAAAGAATTTTCAGCCAGGGGGGGGGGGGGGTTCGCCTGAACCCTGCGAACCCCCCTAGCTACAGACCTGCAACTAATGACCAACAGACCACTCAAATCAAAAGCCAGTACTTACCACATGTATATACAACATTTAGGTACTTTTGGGTTCCCCTAGTGCAGGGATCCCCAAATATTGCTTCACTTGCGGGTAAACGACACTTCCGTTTCCCATGGCAACGCTGCATCACTTCTTCTAGCGTGTAGTCTGATTGGCACTCTAAAAAATAAACAAACAAAATTAAAATACTGGCGGGCATATCAATCATATCGATGTATCAGTACACCTGTATCTTCTTGAAAATCAGAAAATAGGCTTGCACCATTAAGTATTCTCTTAAATCTTAATTGTTATATTAATATTAGTATCAAAACTATTGTATTATTCTAGATCCTTGAAAGGTAGAATTTTACTGACTGGATTTGGGTGTGTATACAATATTTATAAAATCTTTATGATTTTGATTTGTATGAAATAAGACTTTTACACTAATATAGATGTCACTGTGAAAATGATTCAAACAGAGTGGCTATACTACCAAGTAAAACATTATTTGAAATAAATGATTTGGTTAATCCAAAATCATTAAAAATGTCACCATTCATGGGCTTACATGGTGATTCCTTATACAGTAAAACTTATGTATAATTGACATAAAATTGTCAAGAAAAAACATTCCATGTTGGTAGGTGTTCATTACAGAAAGGAGAATTTATAAATAAGTCGATAGAGTTTGTGTGGAGGAAGGGTGTCCACTAGAGACAGGTGTTCACTAGAGAGAGGTGTTACTTTATTGTGAAATATATAGGGGTTGTGCACTGGGAGGTTTTGGATACAGGGAATATCCCGAGGGATATTCCATGTATCCAAACCGACCGTGCATAACTGGTGTATCTCATACTTGAGTGGGTTTAGGGTAGATATAACCTTTCCCACCTTTTTCAAATGACAAGATATTTATATTTAACATTTTCGTAATATTCTTTTTGTTCAATACAATGAAATTGTAACATTTAAACTTAAAAAAAATTTAAAATTAAAAATTAAAACTTTTGATAATTTAACTTTTTTAAACTTTTGAAAAATTCCCGGGAGCGGGATGGATATAATATATCTGCCCGCATTTGGCCTGGAGCGGGACATATACAATATACCCTGCCCGCTCCTCAGATAGGATATATATACCCGGGTGATATCTACCGCAAACCCACTCAAGTATGAGATACATAATTTTATCGTATGATATGTAAAATGAAGCCCTCTGATTGGTCAGCTCTTGTGTTGCACCAATCTGTTTTGCTTCTGAGATGGTCCCATTGGTACGGAGGGGACATTCTCAGTAGCAATACAGAGGATCACACGATAAAAACATTATAGAATGATTTGAAGTGCAATACATGATATATTCTGCTCTCGATATTCTGTATTGGCACTCAACTTCGTCTGGTTCTAATACAGAATTTCTCAAGCAGAATATATCCTGTATGTAAAAGTATGTTGTATTTGTATGTTTAGTATGCAGTTCACAGGGGCATGATGCAAGAGTTACCTTTATTGGATAAAATCTTAAATTCAAATACCTATTTTTGATCCTCTAGAAGTAGCGGGACATTCCAGTGTCCCATGCTCCCCTCTCCCAAACATGGCTGAATATACCGCTATACGTGTCGATTTTTCACACCATAATTGCATCTTCTCCCCTTCACATGTTATACGACTGTGGAATTCATTAGGTCGACATTTATAGGCAACCTCTAAATACTTGCTCGTCCCTCGGCAGGGATCTGGCCCAAATGTGGGGGTACTTGCTTGAACATGGCATTTCCGCTGGTCTTGGCATTCATCAAGCAGAACCTGAAAAACATGGCAAATATATTTATAGTAGTTTGAAGTAATAACATATAATTTAAATATCATAACAAGGCACTTGGGAAGCTATATTCTTTAAATGAATGCTCAAAAATATTTCACATAGCAAACACAATACAGACATCTTGCTATCACCTGAAATAGGGAAAATACAATTCATAAGGAACTATAAGCTGAATATGTAGTTTTGCTAGGTTTGTACATGAAATTTTGCAATAGTCATTCTTCTACTTGTATGCCCACCTTAAAGAAAGAAAAGTAGAAAAATACAACATTTCAGATGATATTGTTACAGCTTTACACAAAAACTGCTTTAATTCGTCTTCATTCACTGGGATAACAAATGATTACTGATGAAATAGATCGAGTGTTTTAATAAAACACTATTATAGATTACAATATGTTTGTAGTTCAGGTATATAAGGTCATGTGATCTGACATTGAATTAATATTAATTCTTTAACTTTTATAATTATTAACCTGCTGATAACAAACCAAAAGTAGTTTTTGACCGAGGACTTTGAAACTTCACAAGGTTAGACTGTACAGGTAGTTGAACAATGGCGTCATATACAGAAGATCGTTATAAAACTGCTTTAACCTGCGGAATATGCCAGGACATTCTTACTGAACCAAGGGCATTGCCATGTATGCACACTTATTGCTTGAAATGCCTTGACAGCCTTACAAAGAAGGGCAAACTTCAAGGAGGATCCTTCAACTGCCCTGAATGCCGATATGTATGTACCATACCACAGGAAGGGGTTGGAGAGTTCCAGGTGAGCCCTACAATTTCATTCCTGGTTGATGCCTATAAGGACAGTCAGCAGAGCCAAAAACCAGAATGTGATTCATGTCTTCGTTCACATGACAAACACACAATGGCCAAAGTCAGATGCCTCGACTGTAATAAACGATTGTGTACCATGTGCCGAAAAACACATGATGCACTGTTAGAAGGTCACAAACTACTGAACCTCACAGGAGACAGTGCAAAGGATTTACAAACAGCACTAAGGTCAATAAAAGAGCAAACCGTGTACTGTCAACTGCATCCCACCAAGCCTCTAGACCTCTACTGTAAAGTTGATGAGATGTTGATTTGCTATCAGTGCTATGCCACTAAACATCCTGGACATGCTTGCGAAGACATCAAAGAGACAGCTGCTAAGAATATGAAACCTATTGGAGCTGTTATATCACAGGGAAAGGGACTTGTGGATTTTTATGAGAAGGCCATTCAAGACACACAGGCTTATAAACATCAACTAGAACAAAATGCTGGAAAAGTAGCAGCTAAAATGATCAATGATATGAACAAGCTTATCCAAATCATTCGCAAGAGATATAATTCTAGCATTGAAAAGATGATGAAAGAAAAAGAATCAAATGTTAAGCAGGTTGTGTCCCATCTTGGCCACCTTGAGCTTCAAAGGGCCATCACTGAGGGTCAGGTGAACAAATACTGTACAATAGTTGAACATGGCCATCTTGTAGAGATTGCTGGCCTTAGAGAGCAAGTCAACAAGAAATCTGAGGAATGGTCAAACAAACCAAAGACCAACTTCTCTAAAAAATTGACTTTGAATTTACTGAGGGAAAATTTGGTGATGGTCTAGTTGAGATTGGAAAAGTGGCCACAGTGACTGTTAGAGAAGAAGGGGAAGACTATGATGTCCCGCCATTGTGTGAGCCAACAATAACAAGCAATGAATTGGACCTAAGTGTCATACAAGATTTAGCATCCAATCCTGGGGGTGACTATGGTGCAACAGAGGGAGTGGTAGAGGAAGACAATGATGTCCCGCCATTGTGTGAGCCAACAATAACAAAGAGTGACTTGCACCAAAGTTTGATAAAAGATTTAACATCCACTCCCGGAGGTGACTATGTTGCAACAGGAGGAGAATATTCCACAACCTGTATATATGATAGAAACCACAAGCTAAAGAAGGACTTGAAAAAAATATTTTCTCATGTAACCCTGACATATGACGAAACATTGGCATTCACTGATGGCACCACCAACAAAATCAGTTTCTACAACACTGATGGCACTCATCAATGTGATGTGGTCTGCAGAGAGTTATCATCATTGCAGGGTATAGCAATGAGCCCTGAAGGGGAATTACTGGTGATAGATAGAAAGACCAAGAAAGTATACAGTGTTGATGAATCTACTGGAGAGTCCAAGGCACTAACAGGCACATTCAATGATCCACAATATCTTGCTTGCAATAGTAAGCAAGTCAACATAATAAGTAGCTTCAATGGCCACTGCATTAGAGGAATAGCCAAAGATGGGAAAAAAGTCTTTACATATGGTGATTATGGAATCCAAAGCTCTGCTGATGGACATTTCCATTACCTACGCGGAGTTTGTAGTGATAAAGAAGATTATATATTTGTAGCAGACAGCTGCAACCACAGGGTCATTCTTCTTACGCCAGATGGCAGATTCCTGAGGAATATACTTACAAATGCTCATGGTGTATCCCTCCCATATGCAGTTGCAATTGGCAATGATGGCAAGCTTCTTGTTGGAGACAACAATGGAAAACTCTTCAGCATCAAGTACAGGGAATAAGGTAGATTATCAATTCCTCTTACAGCTTAAAATTGATGCCATTAGTATAGAATCTATGATCTTTAAATCTGGATAAGATATAAAGAGGAACTTGCATGTACAACATAGGCATAGCCAGGGGAGCGACCGCACCCCCTGACCAATAGAAATATAACCATGAGATAGAAGAAGAAAAGAGCTTTAAAATGGTTTTTATTTGAAGCTTCTAGCTCAATTTTGAAGGAAGTTGCATCAATTTTTGTAAAATTCAAGACAAATCTTAATTTTTTGGCTTGTTTTTGCCATAATCGCACCCCCTGACTGAAAGCTGGCTACGCCCCGGTACTATATCATTACATGCTCATATCTTATCTATCCTTCGAAATATAGTTAATGCATATTGGTAATAAGGGGTACTTTCTTAACATGCATATATCTTCTCGTACATTGTAGGCACTTGTACCTTTGTGACCATTGATCAAAATGAAAGTTATGAAAGTATATGCTTTGGTAATTTTGTGCCATCTTTGACTTGTTAATTGACAGAGCATCTATAACACATATATTTAAATTGTTCACATTTGACAAGAGTCTTAGCTTAAGGTGATGAAGATAGTGGGGCAAAGCTTTCAAAAAATCAAATTCTGATGCATTCTACATTATGTGCTTTGGTACCTTTGTGCCAATTTGTCTGTTGATGGGAAAAACATCTATGAGTATAAGAGAAGCATTAAAATTGTTTCCATTGTGACAACAGTCTTAGTTTAAGGATGGCATTTTTATAGCATACACACCTTCTACATTATATGCTTTGGTACCTTTGTGCCAATTTGTCTTGTTAATGGGCAGAAGATGTATAACATTTTGACACATACATCTTCTACATTATATGCTTTGGTACCTTTGTGCCAATTTGTCTTGTTAATGGGCAGAAGATCTATAACATTTTTGACACACACATCTTCTACATTATATGTTTTAGTACCTTTGTGCCGATTTGTCTTTTTAATGGGCAGAAGACCTATAACATTTTTGACACACACATCTTTTACATTATATGCTTTGGTACCTTTGTGCCAATTTGTCTTGTTAATGGGCAGAAGATCTATAACATTTTCGACACACACATCTTCTACATTATATGTTTTGGTACCTTTGTGCCAATTTGTCTTTTTAATGGGCAGAAGACCTATAACATTTTTGACACACACATCTTTTACATTATATGCTTTGGTACCTTTGTGCCAATTTGTCTTGTTAATAGGCAGAAGATCTATAACATTTTTGACACACACATCTTCTAAATTATATACTTTGGTACCTTTGTGCCAATTTGTCTTGTTAATGGGCAGAAGATCTATAACATTTTTGACACACACATCTTCTACATTATATGCTTTGGTACCTTTGTGCCAATTTTTTGTCTTGTTAATGGGCAGAAGGTCTATAATATCTTTGACACACTAATCTTCTACATTATATAATTTGGTACCTTTGTGCCAATTTGTCCTGTTAATGGGCAGAGCCACTATAAAAGTCACATTTAAATTGTTCCTATTGTGACAACAGACTAAGCTTTATGATGGCATTTTTATAGCATGCGCATATACTTCATCATATGCTTTGGTACCTTTGTGACAAGGTATCTTGTCAATAAGCAGAACATCTATAAAACAATATTTAAATTGTTCCCACTATGGCAGTCTTGGTTTTTAGAGGGTACATTGTAGGTATTTGATACTATTGTAACAATGGGTCTTGCCATTAAATGAATGGGACTTTCATAACATAGTACTTTCTGATTTGCAGGCATTCTTACCATGAGGACAAGGGGTCTCACTGGCGGGTCTGGTCCATGGGGGCAACACCCCTCCCCCCTAGGGTGGGCCATGAAAAAGATTTTAGGGCCCCAAAAGCTTTAGGGCCAAAATTTTTGTATGGCCTCAAAAATGAATATTTTGGGTCTTTTTAGGCCAAGTTATCAAATATGGGCCTTACATTTTCAAAATTTTGGGCCAACATTTTCCTGACTTGGAGTGTGGGCCCCCATTGTTAGCTTCTGGATCCGCCAGTGAATCTATCAACAATGACAAGTTCTATCTGCAACTTTGAGTTCTACATACTGCACAGCAACTTAGATGTCCTAGAGGTGCCAATATATTAAGAGACTATGGCTAAATCATAAAATTAATTTTACTTCAACTGATTACAGAACTTTTTAAAACAGACTCTTGAGGGTGATGAATGTAAACATCTGGATGTATGTTAAAAAGAATACATTTCCTCAAAATAAGTAACAGTACATTTCCAACAAGATAATACAAAATATGGAGAAATCATAGATTTGCCAGTTATTTTAAAACAAGTTACTATTCAAAGACATAATTTGAGAGACATACGTAGCTCACTATTGAACTTT